TGTGAGATTGGGTGTGGGGAGTCCAATTATCTTGGCCACTGTGTTGGTGATGCGTATGAATTTTGTCCGGTTGGTGACAGTTGGCCAATACAGAACATGGATCACAACATGTCATGGAATTTGACATGGAAGGCTAGTCTTTCTGTTGAGACATCATGAGGTGGCATCAGTCCTTGTCCACACTACGCAAATTAAAATGATCAATTGTTGTGTCAAAGGCCCATTTTTTTGTCGGGTCAGGCTGATCTCAGGCTTACAGGACAAACGCATCAGTTTGCAGCAACTGCTGTCTGACTTACTTTGCTCTAACAAGGGCAATTACTTCCAAATTGAAGCCATTGCAACTAGTACATCCTGTCCATTAATAACCAGATCTTTAGAAGAAGTGAAACTATTTGAAGTTAGAGTTCCCCTCTGACATCCAAGTTCAAATGCACTGTTCAACCAAAATAATGCAGCCAAAGGTCTACAAACAGGTTATATTATTATCAAGAGAAAGTAGTTTTGATGTGTGTGCGTTTGTGTCCCAGGGTGATGACTGAGTTTGAACAGCTTCCTGCTCATTTGATGGAGCAGCCTCACCTCTTCTCCATGGAGGACCTCCTGAGGGTGAAGAAGGGTCAGCTTGTGCTGCAGGCTAAGGCATTGCTGCACTCCTCCATCCATCATGTCGAAAATTGTGAGGTCAGTCTGAAGCGCTGTACGACATGACTTTGGGCACGATTTGGGACTTCATATAACTGTTCTTTTTTTAAATTTTGGCATAGATAGTGGCCACATCTGGCCAATATTTCCCCAGTAATAGAAATCTGTCACCAACCCCATTAAAAAGGAAGTATGATTTTTATACCTTTAGTAACTATATTACTTTGGGACATTTTTGTTTTAGAGGAGGGACTCTGTGGACACTGCACTCTGTGGAATCAAACCTCTAATTCTGACAATTATTTCTGACTTTTTCCACAGTTGTGTCTGGCCCGAGGTTTTATCTGCGAGTTCTGTCGAGAAAGAGACGTCATCTTTCCTTTTCAGAGTGACATATGTAAGCGCTGTCCAGGTAAGAGCTGACAGATGTTGACTACTAAATAAAATAGATGATATGTGCAAGATATCAGATGTATACATATACTGTAAAATTAAGGCAAATGGGCAGCAATTGCATGCTTATTTGTAGATAAAAGCTTAATTCAGACAGGTTTAATATTACAATGGGAAGTGGGTAATAAAACTACAAGAATGAGATATTTTTCTCAGATGTTTGTGGAGACCAAAAACAGTAATATTAGACTTGAAGCTGAAGTAGGTAACTTTTATATATCCTTTCACTACATCCTGACATGTAATAGTATATGAGACAGATAATCTGTGAAAAAATTTCATTGTAGTGCTCCTAATGGCATTTGCAAGAATCTACCGGGCCTGAACCAAAACAACCAATCAGAGCCAAGAAAGATGGTTGATTGTTGAGTCTCATTCCCAAATCGTCAAACACTGACCCTGGGCTCAACAATCAACTATCTTTAAGCCACCACCCAAAGCATCTTTATATCTTTCTCAGCTTTAATTGGTTGTTTTCATTTAGCCCTGATAAATTCTTACAAATACCATTAGGAGCACTAGGAGGAGCCAGAAGAAAGCAGATTTTTTTCACAGATTATCTGTCTCATGGACTATAGTGAAAGTTTCAGTGAGTATAACAAAAAATATATTTACCTACTGCAGCTTTAAATTCATGAGCGTAAATGCTAATGTTGCTTTGTTTCTGCTGGATATGGTTCACCCATATCAATTTAAACTGCTATGTCAGTGTTGTGTTTGCAGCATGCTTCCACTGCCTGTAAGTATCTGTGTCCAAAAATCAGTTATTGGCAGATTAAATTTGCAATGTGTAACCTATGTAATCTATTGTCAGAAATGGAATATAATATTGATAGCTATGTTTTCATTAGTGTATAATCACCTGAAAATAAGAATCGTGTTTTTGTTACCTTAGATTGAGCAGTTTTTATCTACAGAGGGAGTGGGTCCTCTACTACAGAGTCTGCCATATTGAACTGCCATGTTTCTACAGTAGACCAGAACAGACAAACCAAACACTGGCTCTAGATAGGGCCGCCACCGTCATTGGTCCCACATGTTTAGAAAGCTTTGCTGTTATATTCACAGTGTAATACAGGGACACAACCATTATAGTAATAAATAGTGCAGTATTAATAGTGCTTCTCTTTTTACAGCGTGCAGGGCCTGCTTTCACAAACACTGTTTTTTGGAAAAGAAGTGTCCGAAATGTGCACGGATCCAGTCACGCAAAAAACGTAAAGATCCATGAAGTGCGACATCTGACCAACTGCAGCTCACCTCTCTGATTCACATCACCTTTACCACAGTTTTACATATGACACTGTTGTACATGAAATGTAAATTAATTTCTATACTCATCTCCTCTTAGTGCTCACCTAAATAATCATTTCAACATCACCAGGGAATACAAACCCACAACGTTAAACATTTAAATGTTGTTAAACATTTCCTGTGGAAATAAAACTGGTGGGGGAGTGTTTCTATGCAGACCATTTCATTTAGTTTGCAGTCTTTTTCTTGTTTTTGTTTTTTTTGCATGAATGTAGGAATATGTGCTGTATGTATGGTGTTTCTCACTGTGCATAACGCTAATGGTTAGACTAGCAGTCGTAGAAATAGCATGCCAAATACTGTGTATAAATGAAGTTTTATAACTAGGTTTGGGAACAACCACACCTCACACTTACTGAAGCACACCTTATCCATTCACTCCCCACTCGACTCAGTTTCCACATGATCGGCAGAAACACAAAAATGAATACCTCGAACCAGAGAGAACGAGCTCATCCTCAACCCTTCAGACTGACATGTTCTGAAGTTGAATGGGAAGCTCCCGATATCTCCGAGTCCTCTTCTTCGCCTACCATTCCTTCCCGTCAGCCACCTCGGCTCCGCTCAACAATCCACGTGCCCCTACGCTTCTAGTCTTCATCCACCAACAACTCCAACATCATTGTTCGACCCCAACAGCTCCAGGGGAGTCTCCGGTCTTCGACATCCGAAGGACATCCCTCCTTCCAGCCGCCTCGGGCAAATCCACCATGACCCAACTTCACCTCACCATCTCTCCGGCCGTCCCTCGGCTGTGAATGTACATGAGCGGATTTTTTAATGACTATTTAAAATACCGGTTCACCTCTTAGTCCAGGTAAGCAAGGAAGCCCCTGCAACAGTTAATAGTTTTATTTCAGTCATCATTGTAAGATTAGTTTACATACGTATATGCGTCGACCTCGCCCATTTAGAAAACCTCGCCGAAGAAAATGACTCCCCAGAAGGACAATCTGGTCGCCGTTTTCTTCTGCTCAACGTCCTTGCACCACTCAGCTTCATCACACATTCCATCATTAAGATTATCGTACCCACATGAAATCGGTTTCGGGGGGCTCTCTACAAGATATACGAAGTCTCACAACCCACTCGGTTCCCTCTTACGATCTTGCCGAACCCCTCCGTCTATTCATCAATCTGCCAACAAACTCACCTTTCTTCCATCTGTTCATCCCTCACCCTTCCTTCCGACACTCCTTCATTCCTCAACCTTCAACCTTTATCCCTCATTCTTTCATCCCTCAACCCTTCATCCCTTCAACTCTCGACCCTTACCCCCCATCTTTAGACCCTTACCCCATCCCTCGACCCTGATCCCTTCATCCCTCGACCCTCATCCCTCAACCCTTTCCCTCCGTCCATTCATCCATCCGCCAACAAACCCACCTTTCTTCCATCCGTTCATCCCTCACCCTTCCTTCCGATACCTCTTCATTCCTCAACCTTCATCCCACAACCTTCAACTCTTCATCCCTGAACTCTCTTCCCTTCTTCCCTTCATCCCTCATCCCTTCATCCCTCAACCCTCAACCCTTACCCCACCCCTCAACCCTCGACCCCTACCCTCCATCCCTCGACCCTCATCCCTTCATCCCTCAACCCTTTCCCAATCCATTCATCCCTCCTACAGTACACCGCATCGGTTTACATTTATTCATTATGTGCAAAAAATCTTTCTAAATTACATACGTTCATTGGCGTGGTCTTTGTTAGTGAATAGTCAGTACTAATGAAATACATGTAACAGAGAAGGACTTGCATCACAATTTTAGAGAAGAAGATTTGTAAGCCAGGGTATCTCTGCAGCTCCAAAGTACTTCATTATAATACTGTTGGTCACAAATTTGACCTTCATCAAACAAATTACAGCTTCTGTGACTTGCATTTTGCACTTGGCCATATTGTGATTCTAATAATATTTTGATGATGCATTTTTCTTGCCCTCTCAAATCAAGGCCCTCGTACGTCCTCCACCCGTAACAACAAGCCTGGCCTATCTCTCTATTATGACACACTCATGTTGGAAGGGCTTGATCTGTCACATACCTAAGGCATGGTAAAGGGGTCACGATACTGCTAACACTACTCAGCAGTGGCTCGAACTGTATGGCCACTAATTACGAGCCGCACGTTTTGGTACCTTTTAATGATGGTGGCCGGACCAAAACTGCGGAGCGCAGTAGCGCGCCAAAATAGCCGTACGGGAGAATAAGTTAACTAGAAATCCTAAAGAAAATTTTTGGAGTGTGCCCTGCCTCCTGGCCCGGTGGACTCTGGCCTTGACCTTTTCTAGCTTTCGGCCAAGCCCGGTTGCCGGGATAAATCCGGCAAAAACCGGGGGCCAAAAAATACCACAACTGGGCAGACGGGGGGGTCCCTGCACATGCTCCTAACCACTGGGCATGCTGGGTAATGGGAGGTTT